TGGTGAGACCTCACCTGGAATATTGCATCCAATTTTGGAGCCTTCAGCACAAGAAGGACGTGTACCTGTTGGAGCGTGTCCAGAGGAGGGCCACAAAAATGATCAGAGGGCTGGAGCACCTCTCTTATGAAGAGAGGCTGAGAGAGTTGGGGTTGTTCAGCCTGGAGAAGAGAAGGCTCCGGGGGGACATTATAGTGACCTTCCAGTACCTGAAAGGTGCCTGTAAGAAAGCTGGGGAAGAACTGTTCACAAGGGCGTGTAGCAACAGGACGAGGGGTAATGGTTTTAAACTAGAAAAGGGTAGATTTAGGTTGGATATTAGGAAAACGTTCTTCAATATGAGGGTGGTGGATCATTGGAAAATGTTGCTCAGAGAGGTAGTGGAGGCCCTGTCCCTCGACATGCTCAAGGTCAGGCTCGATGGGGCTCTGAGCAATGTGTTCTAGTAAAGATGTCCCTGCTTACAGCAGGGGGGTTGGACTAGATGACCTTTGAAGGTCCCTTCCAACCCAATACATTCTATGATTCTATGAAATTGTTATACTTATGTTCAAGCAATTGGGGTTTTAGGTACTTTTGATATAATAAGCATTTATGATGCCTTTCTAAACAACAAAGTTGGTCCAAGAGTATTTGGCAGAGCCTTACTTAGTGTAAGAAGGGTTGTCACAGACAGCAATTACAAATAAGCATAATCAGTCATAACAAGCATAGACTGCTTCTGGATTGACATCAATCCATTTAAGATCAAGTTCCGCAATTACTCCTTTAGACTCTGAAGATTGCACACTTATTCAAACAAAACCAAATCTGATTTAGTTTGCAAAGTATTAAATCCTGATTATTTTTTCTGACTAGAGATTGAGATTCATGTCAGTAAGAAATATGAGTTTATACCCAATATTTAAGAGTGTTCATTAATATCTTAATAATTGCAAGTGAAAGAGCAGTTAGAAAGTAATATTGTTAGTGTTTTATAGTCCACATTTTCTTCTGACATTCTAGATATACAGTCCAGAAATGTTTACAGCAGTCTTCCATAACAAAGGACTTTGCTTCCAAACATTACACAGTTTAGTTTTCCACGTTTGTAACTTCAGTCATTCCTCACTGTACTGTTTTTCATCAAACTGATAGGTTGTACAATAGCTAAAACTAGCCATGTTTCCTGCCCCTTGCCTAATTGTTTCTAATATAAGTTTGATTATAAATTCCTTTTGGACAGGCATCACATTTTGAAATATGTTTTTATAATTTCTTATGAACTTCACTTGCAAGAGTAATTCCAGCCTGAAGGCTACCACAGAGCAATTAACTCTGCTACTACTAATGGCTAGAAAGCACATATACCCAGTAAATAAAAATCTGGCAACTATATTTTCCATGCTTTAAAATCCATTACCTTGTGCCTTTTACTGGATTGTTGTTGCATGGTTCCCAGTGACCAGATCCAACTACACTTGACTCAATGTAGTACCCAACCAGCTCTTTGGCATCTGGGGGCTCTGTCCAAGTGACAACAACTGAGGTGTCTGTATTCCTAGTTGGCATAATACGGCCAGGAGCTTTGGGAATATCTGTGGGAAAGAAACAAAACTAAATTAGTGACCAGCCAGTCAAAATTTACAAACAAAATAGGAATGACATTCTATTCTTGATTATATTAGCACAACTAACACAGTTTTAACCTTCCAAAACTCCTCTGATTTCAATCAAGTAATCTGGGGCAACAGGACAGGATCAATAGGTTCAAGCCTTTGGTAGTTAGGTTCCTCACATCCCCATTGCTTATGGTTATGGGCATTTCCTTCAAGTCAGATTTAGTTCATTCCCTTGTGCTGAACATCTGCACCACAGATGTGTTTTGGAGTTTTCTAAAAGGGAAAATGTGTTGGGTGCACACTGAAGGATTTTGCGCAGCCCACAGAACAAGTCAGAAACAAATGCCCCTGTTAGGTAGCAAAATGCATCTAAAATGTTTTTCAAGAAGGGCTGTTTTACTCTTCTTAAAGAATGTAATTTGTGTGCATGAAACTGCTCTGATAATTTAACCAATATGACGTAGAAACAATTTGGGAACTGGATTCAAATCTGCATTGCCATTTGGAAACAAATTGCTAATGTAGACATAGCTATTGATGCTTGACTGTGGTGAGCATCTTGGCTTTTCTTCCAGTGGAAATAGTCTCTGCATTCATGTAAGTATTAGATTCTTCACTTTTGTTTAATTTGGCAAACAAGGAAGGTTAAACTCTGCTGATGTCTGGGCTTATTTTCAATAAAGACTCTAAGTGAAACAAAACATTTTTGTACTTCCTTGAGTTTTCATTTTCTTTCACTATTTGCAGCCTTTGCAGTTCTTGGCATCGCTATTTGCAGCTTAATTCCCTTGGTTTGTGTCTGTCATTTGACTAAACATTAAAGGTTCAACAACCCAAACCAAAATTATTTTAGCTAAAGGGAATAAATCACTGACTACTCTTCATACTTGAATTATTTACTGTGCACTATCTGTCTTCAGACAAAAGAATTACATCATAAACTGAAAAGATACCATGAAGGTAATTTAGTACATACGTCCACACACTTACCTAGTTTGTCATCCACCACAGTGGCTTCAGTTGCTTCTGAAGGCTCACCAATTCCAGCTGAATTGCAACAGCGAACTCGGAAGCAGTACGATTTGCCTTCAGCCAAATCAAAAACTGCAAAGCGAGGAGACTTCACAGGGATCTCAGTGTTCACCCTTTGCCAGTCCTCTGTGCCAGCCACGCACTGCAGTCAAACCCAGAAACTGCATTTGGAACAAGTGTCTCTGAAAGTTGAATGTCTAACCTGACAAGACTTTCTACATTGACCACCACATCCATGTCTGCTATGGAGAAGAGGGAGTCACGTTCTTTTTTTGGGCCTTTCCACAGAATAAGTGTATTTCAAAGCTTATTAATCTGCCAGATGTCCACCCACACCATAAAATGTACATAAAAGCTTACTGGTTTTAATATATCAAAGCTAAACTTCTCTCCACTACAAGGAAGTGATGTTATCATTAACTGCATCCAGTTCTGGACCACTTTCAAAATAAGTTATGCAGACATCCAACACCTTCCAAAGAACAAAACTCTAACACTACTGCATTGCTTCTAGGTGCTCTTGTGCCACTTTTGAGAGTATTTTTGGAGTGGCTTCCAGAATTAATTAGGATCTGACCTTAATTTTCCAGAAAAAAACCCAAACCAACAAACATGTGGAATTAATTTGTGAATTGTTTTTATTTCTGAGGCTAGAAGCTCCACATACCATGATGACTTATACCATTGATATTAGTGATTAATTTTTGTCTATGATTTACATTGAGGATAATTTCAAGTAATGTGTCCTGGTTTCTGAGGGATTTCAAATTCTCAGGAAAAAATTTCCTGACTATGTGGTATTATTGCTCAGTAAGTGGCATGCAATAAGTTATTAAAAAGCTTTCTTATATGGAAACTCAAAATTTATATAATAACCTTCTCTAAGTCTGTTGCTAAGTGAAACTCACTTATTTAGACCAGATTTCATAAGAGAGCTGAAAAACTCATAATGGGAAGATATTTATGTCTCCCATTATGACATTTTTAGACCAACAGGGAAAGCATTGATAAAAAAGTGTGTGAGTCATGAGATATGAGTAAAAAGGGTGATGTTGGGAAGAATTTTCTAGGCTAGCAGCCATGCAAAAAAAAATCTCAGAAAAGCAGGACACTGAAATTAAAACTGATTCTGTTCTACAAAAGAAATTTTGCCATCTTTGCTGAGTTGATGAAGCAAATGGAAAGTTAATGTAGAGGATAAATATGAAAAGGCAGCTGGAGGAGAAAGTGCTGATGCCAAGAAACTCTTGCAGAATACCTCCGTCTGAGATGTTAACAATCTGTCTCACTAGACAAGTTTCATTTATACAAATTTTATTTTATATATATATATATACACATCTACATATATATATACACACACATATACATATATATATACACACACACACACACACATACATATATATATAAAACACCATGTGACTTTGCTCTGTGTTTTCTCATTATAGAGGGAGTTTGTCAGCCTGTCTACTCCAGGGTAGGCCAATGGCATGGTTCATAAAAGGATATTACAGCATGTGACACGTTCTGCATCTACTTTCCTATTTCTCATCTTTCTTTTCTTCCCAGTTTATCTTAATCTACAGCAACAGTTATCTTGATAAAGTATACAAGTTCTAGTCCGGGCTCTAGTCTGAAAGTCTCAGGTGGAAATTGATGTTAACTAAAAGTCCAGAAGATATGGCAAAACAAATGTAAATAATTGCCACAACAGGATTCAGATTTTTTCCAATTTTACCTTTTCCACAAAGTACATGATACCCTCATGGCCTCGCTGTCCAGGAGGTTTCCAGCTAAGCACAACATAGTTCTTGGTGGCTTCAATAACTTGGAGGTCTGTAGGCGGACCAGGAACAACACCCTCTGAAGAACAGGGGAGGAGAATAGGAAAGGGAATTGGGATTTAATTCCTTCATATTTGTATCAGAATTAATGTTGTAATTAAAGTATAGAAGGAGTATTAATATACCTTGGCACCTGATATTTTTTTAAATGTAGAGTTAAAAGTCTTCTAAACATTGGTTTTAAATTTCCTTCTTTTAACTCTAAGTATGTTTATTTGTTAGGTCCTGAATAATTAAACCTCACCTCAACAATCAGGTTGGGAGTTATTCAATGTCAAATGACTCTCAGAACAACAAACTTTGGGTGCATGCCGAAGTCCACTGAACTCACTGGGAGTTTTCCCAATTACTCAGTCAGCTTCACATTAGATTTTTGTAGGCAAAAGGGACGGGTTTACCTGCAGGTTCTTCCTCAGTGACAATGATCTGTCCAGTCCAGGGAGCAGAAGGGTGACCTGAAACAGATGTCAGAGGTGTCACAGACATGGGAGACTTCAGGGACTTTTGAAATAATGAGAAAACCACTCTTTTCATGGTTCAAAATGAACGTTTTCAAGATTCATGTGAGCTCCATTTTTGGTCACTGCTCTGACTGTTGCTCACGTAGCCAGCTAGTTACCCAAGCTAGTTGTAGGCTGACTGGCTTGAATATTCAGAGCAGCTCAGCAATCAATATAGCTAGAAAATTTAATCCACTGAAATATTTATTCCTTCCTGAAATGTCACTGAAGTCACCTAGGTGACAAGCAGAGGTATTTGGCTCACTCAGCTCATCATTTTCAGAGAATTAACTTCAACTTTATTTTCCATACTCTACTAATTTGGTTTAACAGCTCACGCATTAAAGACATTAATTCCTGCAGGCTGCACTTTGTCTCTTTTTAGCCACTTTCCCTCACATTACCAGTTTTCAAATCATGGGTCACAGTCACAAACAGAAATGGCTCAGCATGACTCAACATGTCCACTTGATATCATTTGGGTGGCTCTCTCAGCATCTCTATATTATCATATTATTGCAGTTATGCATTGAGCTATTAACCAGGTCAGTGCACTTTCAGGTATAATTTTTGCAAATGTTGTACTCTACCTCCACGTGCTTCACCTTATGTGGCTGATCTGTTTTGGAAATGTGAACAGAGAGGGAGTAGGTGGGGAGAAAAGAGGATCATTAGGGAATGAGAAGAGGAGATACAACAGGAACAGGCCAGCAAGACCATACTTCATCTCCTGAGACAGTTTACACACTTCCTGTTGAGAAGAAGAGGTCTCTGCTAGACTTCGGTTTTCACGTGTCTGCCTGGGCACAATGTTTCCTGGCAATGTCAAACCTCCTTCCTCCAGCTTTTTGTTTTTATTTGGAATGGGAACCTTGATCATCTGACTGCAGTCTGTAGCTTCCAGCACTATATACAGTAAGACACACAAGCTGCAGCCATGGGAGCCCTGTAGCTTTGCTTATAATACCCCTTCACATTGGACCATTTGAAATAGTAAAACTTCAGAAACAAATAGAAATAATTAGATTTTAGGCACATGATTTTGGCATATGGGTAAGAGGTAGATTTGGAAGCAAAACGTCTGGTACATTGCCAGGCCACAGGAAATATATCCTTGACTTGTAAAATGTTAACTTTAAAGCAGAAAGCTTGGGATCAGTTATCTATTGGGCTACCCTGGTATTGTGCTGAAGTTACTGCAAGACTGATCATCCAGTGAGCACAGAATCAGCCACCCTTGCCTGTGGCACAGAGTGAAACTATTCACAGGATCTGCTCAGCTTTTTTGTTGGCTGAACAAAAGCAAGTCTCTTTAGGTAATTAACTCCCCTGCACCTTGTCCTCCCTTCCTGTAAGCAAGCATAACACCACAGCCAGCCAAAGCCGTTTGAGCAGATAAAGCACTTTGTGCAAAGAGCACTGAGATTATTTCTTTTCAGCAAAGCTGTCTCCAAAGAATATTTTGGTTTTGCATTGCTCCCTCTAGTGGGAATTTCGAAGGTTTATGAGCACATAGTCCTGCCTTTTGCTTTTTTGCTTTTTTTTTTTTTTTTTTTAAATCGAATGAGTTGTGACTTCTTAAATCTCTCAGATAACCTGCAAAAAGCACATCTTACTCCTAAGCCTGGCTCTGTCAGCAGGATCCAGAGCAGCCACAGGCTCTGACACCCGGGATGGTAGGCTAACGCCAGCTTTGTTCACAGCTCGGACTCGGAAAATGTAGGAACGGCCTTCAATCAGACCAGTGACGGGAAAACGAGCAAACTTCACGGGAGTCTCATTGCACTGGGTCCAGTGGGTGGTCCCAACTTCACACCTGAAAAATACAAACAACAAGAGCAGTGCTGGGAAGGGAAAAATGCAAACTCGGGGCACCCACCTCCCCTTTACAGCTTCACCATCTGTTCGTGTTCATCGGCTGGACCATCCAAGTTTCCTCAGGAGTGTTATATACAGGTGACACCAAAGCAGCTGCACCAAGAGATCAGGGCTGAAGTACCATCTGGGTTTGCACGAAATCCCTCCCAACTGCACCCCTTCTTTCCTGAACTGAGGAAGCGACACAAGCAGAACTCACTTCAGTGCTTAAACCCTCTGAAGCATGCTCGGGGTGCCTAAGGAGTGTCTTCTGCAGAAGGTGACTAGTTCATCTTTCATGCACAGTGCTCCACTGTGTATCCCACAAAATGGTGGGCTTCATGGGGAGTGGAGACCTCCGTTGTGAGTTCTGTGATCAGCCCAGCACACAGATGGCTGTGAGTGGGGTGAAAGTCAGGCACTCAGCTGGACCCTGCTTCAAACACCACTGCCAAGGGAGCCTTCGGCACAGTGGCTGCAGCCACGGCAAGGGCAAGTCCCGGTGGGGTGCTGCTGGTCCCTCTGCTGCAAAGTCTGGCAGGAGACTGGTTTCTGGCAGAAGGAAGAGATAACCAGCAGCAGGGAGGGACCACAGTGATTTTGTCTCAAGGAGCCAGGAGGAGCCCATGCGGATGGCTTCCCAGTATCCAGCAAGATGGCCAAGGAAACACAAACTGTTAGTTTGAGTAAGACTTTTTATTGCTACTGTGATATCTGCTGAACTCTATGTTACAGTGCCTGACCAGATTTCTTGGTAGAGGCAAGCATCTCTTTTCTGGGAATTGTTACTCTCTTGCTCCAGGTGGTTTTGTGGTTCTGGTTTCTGAATGCCTGAGCATTGCCTCTGGCTGAATATTTGGGTGCCTAAATACCTTCAGTGGGATCAAATACTGGAGAGCAGCAACACTGCTTTGAATTTAGGAGCAAATGTAGAATAAAGGAGTGAACGCAAGAGAAAAAGCAAAATGCCATTTGTCTTGAAGTTATTCTCAGTGCTAATATCCCTCAATAGCATAGTTTTAAAATGAGATATTATTTTTAACAATTTAGTCCTGTCTTTTGTTTAGGATTTTTCAATGAATATTAAAGAGCTGTAGCTTAAACCTAGCACTACCTAGTTACAGCAGCGATGGGCACTTGTAAGTTATCGAACTAGAAAAATTATATTTGATTTGAATGTACTGATGTTACTTGTTTCACAAAGCAATGTCCTCTTTTTACACATATATAACTTAGGTATATACAATGGCATAATATAGCAGCATGCTATGTATATCAAAATAGATATAAAAAGTATGTTTGGGGTTTTTTTACATGCATCTGAATAAGGCCATGGGAACTCCATATTACTGATGATGTATTCTGTTACTGAAATTCAAACAAATATTACCAGCTATGAATATTTCATTGCAAGTCTCAAATTACAGACTGAATTTCTTAAATCCTGATGTTCTGGAGTCCTGCCTCTGTGTCCTGGTTTCATATTCAGTTTTCATATTTAAAAAAATTATTTCCAATTCTTATTGTTGCAGAGAAAACCACATAAGCGTGATCTGCATGAAGCTTGTGAATCTAAGACCTTGGAAAACAACAGTACGTAAAATAAATCCAACTCCCTTTGAGGTAATATTTTGCTTTCTGGTACATGGTAACTATTTGGAAAGTGGCAGGAGAACACTGGTGCAGAAGGAGCCACAGCTGCCTGATGAAGGAGCTGATCTTGTAAGCTACCAACGTGCAAGGTCCCAAGGCCTCTCAAGCCTTGAGGAAGCAGTGAGGGCTGAGCTATGTAGTATCTCGCAGAATCCTTTGTGTGCATTTAAATGAAGCAGGACTTGATTATTGACATGAAAGTTAGATCAGGCCCAGCCAATCTAAATAATAGTAATTTTCTTCTGGCCAACAACAAGAATGAAAATAACAACGACCATTTTATCTCATGCTTTTCAATATACTACTAGGGTTTTTTTGAGTTAAAATAAGCAGCAATACAAATTCTCCAGTCCAGCATGCTCACTGACCTGTCAATGAAATACCCGAGGATGGGGTTTCCTCCATCAACAGCGGGTTGTTTCCAGGAGACAATGACATAATCTTTGTTTGCATCTAAGCACTGCACATCCAGTGGTGCACCAGGGGCTCCAGGGATTTCAGCATCAGCATCTATGAGGATGGAGACATAAGTTTCCAAATGTGAACCACAGTTCTTTCACAATTATTAATCTTTAAGGACTGAACTCAGTTCCTACTGAGCCAAAAAAAGGAAGTTCCATTACTGGATTCAAAAAGTATTTGTTTTTATATTGCCAGTGTTTTCCTAAGTTTTGGTGTTCTCTTTGCCACATTTACAAATGCTTAATATGCTACAGCATACTGTAAATGTAATTCACCTAGGCATTTTAAATAAAATTAATAACATGCATTCTGGTTAGGCAGCTGCCAGAGACACGGCTGAACTAAAACCTTTGTCAGACTACATAGTTACCTGTTATTCTACTCAGGAAAAGAGGCTAATATCTTGCCTTACAGCCAGGCAATACCTCAATTAAAAGTATTCACCCATTGCATATACAACACTGAATTAAATATCTTATCTCCACGCATAGTCCTTCATTGTTTGGTTTTGGTTAGCTGTGAACTGCAAAGTTATCAAAACCTTTTGAAGTTTAATTCTATTACACAGACATTATCATTGTGGAATATAGCCTTCATAAAGATGAGCATATTGTTCCTTTCAAGTGTTTATCACAAATCTGAGACTGCTGGTGTCAAAGAGCCTTGACTGCAGCCTCAGCTTCTGGACATATCTTATCTAAAGCTTTAAAAAACAGAGCACAGTGCTGGACACTGGGGAATTTTACTGTTTATGCAGTCAGAGTCTGATTTGTGAGACAGGGTAATTTTCATGTAGAGAAAAAAACACCCTTGCAGGAAGATTGTATGAAAGACTTTCAAAGAAGAGAGGTTGTTTCTCTGCATAATAACACCAATTTGTACAATTGCAGGTAGCATTTTTCAAGCCCGCTACTTCAAAAGAAGACCTGACTTAGACAAAAAAGATGAATATACCTGAAGAAAAAAATATTTTGCTAATAAATACTATTCATACATTCCATTTAAACCCCAGTCTTCTTAAAAAGAAGTTTGATGTTTCAAGGCACTACAGGACTTTGTATTACAATATACAGTAACCCATATTTTTTATGCTTTTTGCTTTCAGAAAAAAATGCCTTCTAAGAGTATTTAACATGCTTCATTAAGGAAAATGGAGGAAAAAAACCCCACACTTTACACTGTTTCTTTTCTTATAGGCAGAATAGCATCACATGGAGCTTTTGAAACTGCGCCCAAGTTACTGAGTCCAGGTTCTAATTACAACTGACTCGATGCCTTTTTAAAAATGATAACATACAGAGTAAGCAATCCACTTAACAAAATAATAAGAACATTAAGGGTAATAACAATGTCTTCAGTGACCTCCATATGAAAGGTTTTGATTGCCCTTATTTACCACTTGACTAACATGAGACACCCCAGTTTCTTTCCAAGACAGACTGAGAAATAGCTGCATAACCAGAATTGCTGACCAGCCTCGGGGATGCCTAGGATTTCAGCCCTGACAGCTTGCCGACAAATGCAGACCTGTAGCCATGGCAGAAGAATCACACATGCTCTCAAAGTCCCTCTAAAGACCCCACGTTATGAGCCTGATTAGTGCATTGTTCCTTCCCACCAATACACAAGAAGTTCTACACATGACAGAGAAAGGCAACTGCTTGTGCTTAAATAGCACAGCTTGCCATTTATAGCAAATTTCCCGTCAATTTAGGAGGAACAGAGAGGAATATACCAGCCAACTGAGACAGTGGGGACCATTTAAGTAGGAATGTAGAATATAATCAATCTAATTAGCATTTGGCAAACACACTGACTGGCTAGTAAGATACTCCTGTGAGTGGGAGTGGGCTTGCAGTCAGGTCATACTTGCATTTCTAGAAGATGTAACAGGAACGAGGGTGATCATTTACTTATATGGCAGCACAATTTAAAACAAAGCAAGAAAGACAAGTCCTATTTTTTGTCATAGATGCTCATTTCAGTAGACTCTTTCTTCAGGTGATGAAAACATCTGCTTCAGTCATATTTTCTGAGCAGGCTGTTATCTCACATAGCTCTGCTGGACTTGGCAACACAGTGCCATTCTGGGCAGGGTCTCAGAGCCAAGAATTTCCAGAGCCTTTTGAATTAGCACTTCATGCTTCAGCTGCTTTTAGCAGCTGGGACAGATATAAAATCAGCACGCAACCTGATAGCTATGGCTCCATTTAAAGAAATATTTCTCTAATAGAAATTCAAAGAATTTTTTCATGGTACAAGCAAACAAAGCCTAGAGAAACTACATTTTAATTCTACACTTCGCTGCTTTACTTTAGAGAATCACAGAATGGTTGAGATTAGCAAATAACTCCAGAGATCACTTAGTCCACCCCTGGCTCAAAAGAGGGTCAGCTAGAGCTGGTTGCCCAGGACCATGTCAAATCAAGTATTGGATATCTCCAAGAATGGAGACTCCACAGCCTGTCTTGATAACCTGTTCCAGTGTTCAACCACCCTTGCAGTAAAAAAAGTGTTTTCTTACATTTAAATGAGCTTTCGCATATTTTATGTCCATTGCCTCTTGTCCTGGCACTGAGCACCACTGAAAAGAGCCTGGTTCTATCTTCTTTACTGCCCTCTATCAGGTATTTATACACCTGGATAAACTCCTCCTAAGCCCTCTCTTCTCCAGGCTGAACAGGTCCAGCTCTCTCAGCCTTTCCTCATATGAAAGATGCTCCAAGCCCTTAATCACCTTCACAGCCCTTTGCTAGACTCACTCTAGTGAGTCCATGTCTCTCTTTTACTGGGGAGCCCAAGATTGGACCCTGAACTCCAAATAAGTCTCACTAGTGCTGAGTAGAGGGGAAGGACCATATTCTCAACCTGCTGGCAATGCTCTTCTTAATGCAGTCCAGGATGCTGCTGTTCTTCTTTGTGACAAGGGCACATTGCTGTCTCATGTTCACCTTGGTGTCCACCAGGACCCTCAGGGTCTTTCCTGAAAACCAGCTTTCCAGCCAGTAAAGTCCCCAGCCTGTGTTGGTGAATGAGGTTATTATTCCCCAGGTGTAGATCTTTGTGTTTCCCTTCCACTGCATTTTTTCCTGCATTATGCATTAGACAGAACCCCTCAAATGGCGCACAAAATCTTTATCAAAACAGTGCAGTTTAGCTAGCAGTAAGATGGTTACAAAAATACATTTTTAAGTTGTTATGTACATTTTTCCTCTTTATGACTTATGTTCAGTCCTCTTCACAGCCTGAAACTGAGAAAGAGTAGTGAAGTTACATCAATACCATAAATTTCCTCCTCAGAATGCCAGTCTTGTTTAGAAGTCTTCCAGCACGTGATGCCAAAGCTTGAGGTATGCATTTAATTTTTCCAAAGATAACAACTGGAAGCTATATTGCTAGAATCTATTAATAGAAAATAATTCTTCTCTTTCTATTGGAGAAAAAGGACCTAAAATTGCTGAGACTGATTTTACCAGTGTTCTTCTAATTTCTCTGGTGAGTTTCATTCATAAGACAATATCCTACCTTGAACAAAGACATAATTACTGTACTCTTCATAGTAGTCTCCCATGATCACTCGTAGAGTGTAAAGACCTTCATCTTCTTTGTTTGCATGAGTCAGTGTTAATGAAGCTTGCTCCCCAGTCCAGTGCATCTGGACCCATTTGGATGGTGTAATAAGAACACCTAGAAATTAGAGAATTTCATTATGAGAACTAGTTGGAACTACTGAGGAAAAGATCCTGAATATGGGGTATAGGTAGACTGGAAATACACAAGAGTCCATTCTTATTATGCAACTTTCAGTCTTCAAAGACAATCATAAATTACAGCTAATTCTACTCACATGTCAATTTTGTCATAATTTTCAAAGTGTAACTTCAGAGAGCAACAGCTTATCAGCTGAACCAAAACATTTGTGCAACTACTTAGGAAATGCCTTGGCATATAAATAAATAGTAAAACCTATGTGGGCTATGTAGGTGGGCCACATAGATGTTGGAGATGATAAAAGTGCTTCTAATTTAATTTTTTTTTAAGAAATAAAACATCCCTAGAAAATATTTTCACAGTTCTTTATCTGTTTTCTAACTGTGGTTCCATTTCAAAATGCTAAATTTTGAAAAACCTTTAATTGAAAAAGAGAAAATATTACTGTTTAGAAATCTGAGAAAGTGATGACCAAATCATAATGTTCACATATGTCAAAATAAGTTAGGATTTACGTGAAAGAAGTTTATATTTCTTCTTGTCAAACATTCTCACCATTTCTGTACCATTCAATGTCTGGTTTGAAGCGCTTGATATCAGGACTGATGACAACTGTGCAGCCCAGACTCATCGTCTCTCCTTCTCTCCCAAAGGCTACATCAAACTTGTCAACAAAGCTGATTTCAAACCTGGAAGCATAGCCATGAGGGGTAACGCCAACTGTATAAGGGAAAAAAAAATCTGGTTGTTTACTTCTTCTTCCCTTTTGTGGTGAGAGAGTAAGCAAAAGTACCCAATGATTATGAACACAAGCTCGGGTAAATTTTAAGATATAAATAGAAGCAATATATCTTCAGCAATCATATTCAGAGGTAATTGCAGTGTCAAATAATCCAAGCCCTCACTATCACAGAGAATCAACTATTTCTTTATTCATACAACTCTGGTTCCTACAGGTAGTTCAGGGAGAGGCTACTGTAGAATTTAATTCCAGAACTTTCAAAGTTTCAGATCCAGTATTTTATCATAAGGTTCGTTTTATAACTTGAACTGATTTCTATTTATGATTAATGATTTGTTCAGGTCAAGCTGATCTTTAGCTTATATGGCTCTTGTCTTTCCCTGTTCTAACTCCTTGCTCCATCTCAGGGCAGTCATGTGTCCACTGAACCTTCATTTTTATAAGCTAAATAAGCCTTTTATTGGGGGGGTGGGTCTTAATATAAAATGAGCTCTACATTCCCTCAGGCATTCAAGTAGCCTGTTTCTGTACTTGTTCCTGAATTTACCTTTTCTGATGTTGTGTGACCCGAGTTAGGCAGTATTCCAGACAGAATATCCTAGGTGTCCTAACTATCTTACACTTGTGATGCACATGCAAGGTACAGGGGCTTCCATATTTCTTTTGAAAACAGCTCAGCTGATAAAACCTAGGGTCACATTATCCTTTTACACAACTGCCCTACACTGGTAGATCACAGTCTTCCTGCGATCAGTGAATATATCCAGGTTGTCATCTTCCATTACCGAGTGTTAAATCCCAAAGTATATTAGAAACTTGTGGCCTTGCATTTTGTAATGTGGTGTGAAATCTTGTTTCTATTATTTCAGAGCTTCAGTATATAAATTACATCTAGTATGCTTTTGCAGCAGATCTCTCATTCTATTTGTGCTGCTACAATCAAAGAAATGTCTGTAAGTCTCATCTGTCAAGCCTTCCATGCACAGGAGCTCTAGGGTACTTCACACACATTGCATATCTGGGTGACTTGTCTTAACATTTCTCATCATGGAAGTATCCATGCAATACTGCAAATCACATCAAAACATGAGGGTCTCAGGTAAAAGAAACTACAATTTTTACCTTGATGTATCAAAACCAAAATTGGATTCTGGCTATCAGTTATTTTCTACCCATTTTTGCAACACATGGAGTTGCATAGCTGCACAATTAAGTCAACTACTCTACTTAGGCACATGCACCCCCAAGCTTTGTTCCAGACCATGTTTTACATATTGCAAGACATGAAGTATCTCTGTCTTTAACAGATTTGATCCTGCAGCCAAGGGCAATATTAAAAGGATGTTTCTTATATAAGCAAATAGCCACAGACCCAGAAGGCAATACCATTTTCCCCTATGGGTCAAGCTAACACCAACTGAAATTGTAGAACTCAATACCTTTGTAAATCAGACTTGCTTCCTTTCTAAATAATGTTACAAAATATTCTGCATAGTCATTTGTCATGATGTCATAACTGTAAATGCATGTGTCAAACATATATTGCAACTTACAGCCCACAGGCATGGAAGCAGTTCCAGCATACAAAAGACTTGCATCAATTTCTCCTTTGTACCCTAGACAGAAAAAGAGTAATTCCAGTCACTGTCATCAAGAGGTAAAGGCTCTCTGAGCCACAAAAATTAAATTGATAATATGCATCTTAAAAAACCAAAACAAACCAAAAAACAAACCACAAAGTAAGTATTTTGCAAACCTACTCTTTACCACAAGGGAAGCATAAGCTGAAATTTCTCCTTTAACATTCATAGCAGAGGCCCGATACTGAGCAGTGTCGTCAAAATCACATCTAGAATGATAGAAATTATTAGGCATGGCACCTGTTTACTCCTTGGCATACCCTATCCTATGTTTTAGATAAAAAAAATCCCCTCAGAAATCTATGTAAAATGTATAAATAAGAAAAAGCTTGGGAGACAGACACACTGAACACTGGACTGATTACAGCCATTAAGTTTTTCTCAATGCTAAAAATCCAGTGTTTGGAACACTGTCTTCAAATATCACTTGCAGATTTGAAATTGAGAATACAATGGAAGTAGGAAAAACTGTCTGATTATATTTATCTAAGTCATCTCTAAGTTATCTCTAATTTACTGTCTCCTGTGGAGAGATGCCTAATGTGGAAGCTGTAGAAATGGTAGATATCACAAAATATTTTCAAAGGGCACGTACTAGTACCTAAATTGTCAAATCTAGATTGTTGCTGATTGTCAAATTAGGTGATTAGGTCTCACATTTTCAATGTTTTTAAACGCAAAGTGACTGCAAAAATTTCCCATTTGGAGGACGAGTTTAATTGTTAAAGATCTTTCTTGTGTATTAAGTGAGGACATCTCATTTCTGTTCCACATTTCAGTAAGAACCAGGAACTTTGCTATATCTGCAAAACAGTTAACTCATATTTTTACCCTAAACTAGATTTTTCTCATGTTTAACTGTACTTATGCAGCAGACAAATGGAAAAATAATCACAAATGTCCCACACATTTCTGACTTACCCATAAATAGAATAATAATACAGATAAATTACTCAGGTAAATTGCATATGTTCTACTGAGGAAAACCAGAACTGCTTCAACATTTAGTAGACAACATTCACCTCAGCTGTACAAACTTGATTTGTCTTACATCCCCGAGAGATATGTTCACACTTTTCAGGTCTCAATCTATAGCAACATTTCAGCTTAGGCTATTTGTTAAATTATCTAGTATTCCCTTACGTGCTAATTTCCAGTGAGTGCAGCCCATATCGACTTTCAATGATATACTTGCCAGGGTGAGTCTGTACATCGATGGGCACATTGTTTTTGTACCTGTGGAAAAGCAAAGAAGCCCTATGTCACAAAGAGAAGTGTATAATCATACTTTAAAAGGTCAAGTGCTTGGTGTTTGAAATAGAATGTCAGTATCTGTATGTTTCTCCTGGATAAACCGTGGTCTAATTTCCGGGAAAGATATAACTAGGAGGAGCTTAACCTCTTTCTCTTTGACCTGCCCTAGGTAAATTTTATTTTCTAAATAAAAGGAGAAAATACTATTGAACAGGGTGAAAATCAATTTATATTACCATGATTCAGGAATGCTTGTAAAGAAATCGAGTCATATGAGCAACATCTCAGAGTTTTGTTAATTGCAAACAATGAAAATTCTGTAGCATTCTTACCTACTAGGTATTGTACACATTTGTTTGGTTTCCATAATTAATCTACTTTTAAAATCTGCATAGTCACAAAAATTTCAGGTAGGAATTTAACTTTTTTTTTTTTTTTTTACTTGTATAGTTATTTTGTCAGAAGCCCCAATGCAAATAGGGTTAGACAGGTAAAAAAATTTGTCTTGATGGTAAAGTGTATTACCAAAAGGGATCTGGCAAAAACTGCTACCAAAAACTTTTCTGCCTTTTTAAGTACACATTTGGAGTGTTTTCTGTTACAGGTATGTCTTCAGGTAGGAAGAGTTTACTGTTCAAAATTCCCAGTAAGTAATTTGAAGGAATGAACCAGTACTGCTCAGTAGTGAGCTGGCACTGCTAATTTCAGGATTTATATAAACAGCTTGAGACTCACAGAGGGAGAATTCAGTGGTTCATGGGAGATTCTCCCTCACCAATTGTTGTATAAAAAGTCACTCATTCTGGACAACACATGGTGTAACCAAGTAAATGTTTGAGTGAATCCTGTCTTAAGTGAACACTATTATTATGGAACAAACTGGTGACAGGAATCTAATAAAAATAAACACTGAATTGTGTTCACTACATTTGGGATTGATATGAGGTCTATAAAGAAATAATGTTCCCTAAGATAAAGTCCTCCTTTAGCATAGCTTTCCCTCAGTTCTATAAGGTGCATATAAAAGGGAAGTCAAAATATAAATGATGATAGATAAAAGTATCTTAATCTCTTACTTTGATGTAGCTTAAATAAACTTTTCTCTTCATAAGTCACAACAGATATCCAGCCAAAGAGCTTTGCTTCTTCATTTTGGATTTTAAAGGTCAGTTTCTCTCATGATTTTCAATCAGGAAAGGGAACTGCTCTGCTGTCAGTGGCATGCCCCACCTCATCAAACAAGTCAGTAATAAGCTATTTTATTTTTACCAAGACTATTATTACTGTAATATGTCTCAAGATGAAGCTATATCTGCAATAAATCTGAAAATTGCCTTTCAACAATTTCAGTGTTGTGGAATAAAGAATATTTCCCCGACTACAAATATTTGTGCACAGTAATATACTGGGATTTTTTCCAAATGCCAAAGTGAGCAAGTATCATAAACCCTAATGCTTTTCATCCTAATCTTCCTTTCAGCAAGACATCTATGAAAAGAGGCCCAATGCAGGGCAAACCCCTCTATTCTAGACTTCAAACAGTTGCAGAGATGCTTTATCTCATTACAGGTCTCCTACTGCATTATCCTGACTTACAACAAAGAATAATACATGGGTCCACTAAGGGTAAATCCATTTGCCACCACTCTTCACCTTATCTGTGCAATGGTGCCCCCCAGACTGATCTGCCTGGGAATATCTGGGCATCTTTATATTCCATGTAGTGTGTCAAATGGTTTAGAAGAAACAATAATGCCATCAGTTCCTAATATTTTTAGGAATATTAAATCCTGTGAAATAGGTCTTGACACAGTAATCACTTTTCTCCAAAGGGTTGGGTGACCCTGGGCTCCTGTTGGCAGCAAGGGCAGTCAGTAGCATGCAGTGCTGTGCATCAACAAGCTGAGTCAAGCAGCTGTAAGGAGACTGTCACTTCTCTTCGTTATCAGATTAGTAAAAAAGAATTGATTCAATTTTTTCTTATTTACATTAATCTATGGAAAAAATAAGGCTTGTGTTAGAAAGACCACTTGTTATTTCTGGAAACACAAATTCCGAAACAGCCAAGTCATTAGCTAATGTTGGACTGCTATCTCCCACTGTCATTATGAACTGATAGTTTATGCTTTCTGCTACTGGTGTCAAATGTCCTGGGTTTTCCATATGCTTTACCCAAGGGAATCAGAACAGCTGCATCACACAGTAAGGTTTTCTTTAGAGAAAGCTCATGAAGCTTTATGATATATCATGCACAGCATGAGAAGTTTTCCATTGCTTATACGAAGAATGAGTGTTGGGAATACACAACTCACATTTTGTTAGAAATGCTGAATGAGAACTGGCAGATCCAGGTCAGCAGTGTTCTGTATCTCAGAGCAAAGACACCTGCTGAAATGGCTGTGAACTCTTTTTTTCCATTAGTAGCCTGTGGCAAACTGAAATCCCTTTGGAATTCAGATGTATGGTAAAATGATGTATTAATTTCCACATCCACATTTAACGCTTAGATGAAAGGCTGGTTCATACAGACCAAAGGCAGACATCTGAAGGCTTGGTTTAACTATGTCAGGGTCCTGGGATAAGGTGAATCTCAATGAAAGTTAAAATGGCTCAGCTCTTGAATACTTGGTTAGGATTCAGGTTACAGAGCTGGATTACAGCCATAAGGATAGCTGACTATTCCTTATGTCCAGCTGAGACCAGATCTGAAGGGTTTGTCTGGAATCCTCTCTCAGAGGAATGTCAAAACAGGGCACTCGCAACCCTTACATGACAGGAAAAACGTGTCCGTGCAGAGCCTGGCTATCAATGGTCATTGTTTAAGAAGAGTAACCAAGTAACTTCATGGGCATCAGCTCTGGCCTGTGAATGTATCTCTTAGTAGCACTTTTTATTAAGACCTGAGATTAAGGTTTTTAAGGCCTAAATAAACACAGAGTCCATTAAGAAGTTCAAGTAGTAAATCACAAAATATGGGTATTACTTAACATCATGATATAGTAGATGTTTTCTGTTGTCTCCACAAATAGAATCCCCATAGGACTTATTCCTACTTAATGCTTAATGCTGAACATAGGCTAATTCTTTGTGCATTTAGTAAACTCATTCATATATTTTATATACACATTCTAGAATAATCTTTTAAATTAAATAATGACCATCAAATCTCATTATATATTTGAAAAAAGTTATTATCTATTATTTTAACAACTTGATGGTATCTGTGTAGCATGAAACAGATAAGAAAGATCACCTCAACAGATTATGAGACTGTAAAGTTTTACAAGTCACCCTTAATTAAGCCAAATCCAACTCCTGTTAGGGTAAACTTTAACCCAAGAGTCAAATTAGACGTTCAGCTATGACTAAGAGTATATTTTGGAGTTCTTGCAGTAAAGATTTAGTCCAAAGTCCATTCAAGTGAATACAAAGTTTCCAATTGACTCCAAAGCTTTCAGAAGATTTGGATAGTCCTGGATCTATCTGCAGTCTTTGACTTCAAATAATTATGTGTCTACTATGAATACCCTGCATCATGAGACTTCAGTTTCATGGAGATTCAGTAGAATAACTGCTCAGCAGCCAAGCAGGTAGTTCTCAACCAAAGCATGCTTTAACGATTCAGGATCATTAGTGGCATTTGGAGACTAAACAGAAGTATTTGGAAACCAGTATTGTAAGGATAGTACTGACAATAAATTAAACTGCATATAGCAAGAATATATTGGATGTATCTATGAAAAAAAACCAAAAAAACAAAAAAACTTATGTATTTTATTGTTGTTACACAAAGTATTATTTTATCTTTTAATATTTTGCTTTCTTTTTGTACAAGATGACTTGAAAGGTGTTTAACAGGCCTCTGTACCTGTTTTTTTTTTTTTAATTGAACTTGTATCTTTCCTGAAAAAATAACACCTTCACTGAGATGACTTCAGATATCGATTATATGCTGACTTTCAGTGATAGAGATACAAACTTACCAGGTAACACGGGGTGCTGGCCAGCCAGCCACGGAACAATGAAATTTGACATTTTGCTTTTCCCAGACAGTGTGAGAACGAGGCTCGATAATAAACTCAGGAGCATGTAAAAGTTTGTCTTGATTCAACTTTTTGTGGAATGCCTGAGTCTCTTCTAGCTGGAAAAGAAACATTTCATTATAAACTCCAGCGGATATAAGTGCAAACTGTTAATACACAAAAACCATATTTTTTAAAAAAAGTTGTAAAAAAAAGTGCAATTTTTCTTCAAAAATTCACATAGACATACTTAATGTATTTATCTCACCTGTACATAGAAAACAAACTTTTCATATTCAAGAAGTTCTCCTTCCAAAATAGCTAGATTCTATTTTACTCTTTTGCTTGTTTTTTTTTCCCTAAAGCTATTCTAAGTAAAATAATTTTCCACAATTCATGAAGTCATAGAATCATAGAATCATTTTGCTTGGAATAGACCTTTAAGACCATCAAGTCCAACCACCAACCTAACACTGCCAAGCCCACCACTAAACCATGTCCCTAAGCACCACATCTACACGTCTTTTAAACACCTCCAGGGATGGTGACTCCACCACTGCCCTGGGCAGCCTGTTCCAATACTCGACAACCCTTTCAGCGAAGACATTTTTCCTAATATGCAACCTAAACCTCCCCTGGTGCACCTTGAGGTCATTTCCTCTTGTCCTATTACTTGTTACCTGGGAGAAGAGACCAACACCTACCTCACTACAACCTCCTCTCAGGTAGTTGTAGAGACTGAAAAGGTCCCCCCTCAGCCTTGTCTTCTGCATACTAAACAACTCCAGCTCCCTCAGCCGCTCCTCATAAAACATCCTCTAGACCCTTCACCACCTTTGTTGCCATTCTTTGGGCACATTCCAGCACCTTAATGTCTCTCAGGTAGTGAGGGGCCCAGAACTGAACACAGTACTTGAGGTGCAGCCTCACCAGTGCTGAGTACAGGGGGAAAATCCCTTCCCTGGTCCTGCTGGCCACATTATTTCTGATACAAGCCAGGATGCCATTGGCCTTCTTGGCCACCTGGGCACACTGCTGGCTCATGTTCAGACAGCTATTGGCCAACACCCCCAGATCCTTTTCCACCAGGAAGCTTTCCAGCCACTCTTCCCCAGGCCTGTAGCGTTGCATGGGGTTGTTGTGACCCAAGTGCAGGACCCGGCACTCGACCTTGTTAAACCTCATACAGTTGGTTGCAGCCCATTGACCCAACCTGTCCAGATCCCTCTGCAGAGCCTTCCTACCCTCAAGTAGATCAATGCTCCTGCGCAACTTGGTGTCATCTGCAAACTTACTGAGGATGCACTCAATCTCCTTGTTCAGATCATTGATAAAGATATTAAACAGACCTGGCTCCAATACTGAGCCCTGGGGAACAGCACTTGTGACCAGCCGCCAGCTGGATTTAACTCCATTCACTGCAACTCTTTGGGCCCAGCCATCCAGCCAGTTTTTTACGTAGCAAAGAGTATGCCTGTCCAGCAGCCAGTTTCTGTAGAAGAATGATGTGGGAAATGGTGTCAAAGGCTTTACTAAAGTCCAGGTATACAACTTTCCCTCATCCACTAAGTGGGTCACCTTGTCATAGAAGGAGATCAGGTTAGTCAAGCAGGACCTGCCTTTCATAAACACATGGTGACTGGGCCTGATCACCTTGTTGTCCTGTATGTGCTGTGTGATGGCACTCAAGATTATCTGCTCGGTAACATTCCCCAGCACCAAGGTCAGAGTGACAGCCCTGTAGTTCCCCAGGTCCTCCTTCCAGCTCTTCTTGTAGATGGGTGGCAAATTTGCTAACTTCCAGCCCACTGGGACCTTCCCAGTTAGCCAGGACTGCTTATAAATGATGGAAAATGACTTGGTGAGCACTTCCGCCAGCTCCCTCACTACCCTTGGGTGGATCCCATCTGATCCCGTAGACGTGTGTGTCTAAGTGTTTATCTTGGAGAAGAGGAGACTGAGGGGTGACCTCACTAATGTTTATAAATATATAAAGGGTGAGTGTCACGAGGATGGAGCTAGACTCTTCTTGGTGACAACCAATGATAGGACAAGGGGCAATGGGTGTAAGCTGGAACACAGGAGGTTCTGCTTAAACTTCAGAAGAAACTTCTTTACAGTAAGGGTGACAGAGAACTGGAACAGGCTGCCCAGGGAGGTTGTGGAGTCTCCTTCTCTGGAGACATTCAAAACCCACCTGGACACCTTCCTGTGTGATCTCATTTAGGTTCCTGCCCCAGCAGGGGGATTGGACTAGATGATCTTTCAAAGTCCCTTCCAATCCCTAACATTCTGTGATTCTGTGATTCTGTGATTCTGTGAAGTGGTGTAGCAGGTAACTATTTCCCCTTGGATTATGAGGACTGCATTCTGCTCCCCATCTCAGTCTTCCAGCTCAGGGGGCTGGGCACCTGGAGAACAACTGGTCTTACCACTAAAGACTGAGGCAAAGAAGGCATTAAGGACCTTTTCATAATGTCAGCCTTTTCCTCTGTCACTATATTTCCCCCCACATCCAATAAAGGATGGAGATTCTCCTTAGCCCTCCTTTTGTTGTGATTGTATTTATACATTTATATATTTTTTAATGTCTTCTATGGCAGTAGCCAGACTAAGTTCCAGTTGGGCTTCAGCCCTTCTAATTTTCTCCCTGCATACCCTTGTGACATTCTTGTAGTCCTCCTGAGTAGCCTGCCCTTCTTCCAAAGGCCCTAAATTGTCTTTTTTTTTCCTGAGTTCCAGCCAAAGCTCTCTGTTCAGCCAGGCTGGTCTTCTTCCCCGCTGGCTCATCTTTCGGCACATGGGGACAGCCTGCTCCCGCACCTTTAAGATTTCCTTCTTGAGGAATGTCCAGCCTTCCTGGACTCCTTTTCCCTTCAGGACTGTCTCCCAAGGGACTCTGCCAACCAGACTCCTAAACAGGCCAAAGTCTTTCCTCTGAAAGTCCCAGGTAACAGTTCTGCTGTCCTCCCTTCTTCTACAAGAATCAAAAACTCAGTCATTTCATGATCACTATGCCCAAGACAGCCTCCAACTATCACATCACCCACAAGTCTTTTTGTTTTAATACAGAGTGAAAAATGAAATAGGACTGAAACTCAGTTGCCTTCTGTACTTTCGTTTTAATGCAAAATTGTGTACACCTGTATCATCTCTGACAGACCTGCTCTCCAAC